TTTTTTTATTTATTCTTATTTTAGTGTTCCCCACGACCACTACAGCACCCGCTGCTGGTTCTCCTTCAGGATTGGTTTTTCTATCTGTTATACTGTTTGCAGTTGCAGTAGCATTGATTGCGAAGATCATATACAGCAATAGAAGGAGGTAATTTTGCCAGTTGAATTGTTGTTATTTGACACAAATTTTTATTGATTATTTCATATTTTTCTTTTCTCATGTGCAGGAGAAGCGATCTTATTGGTGGCACAGCTCGTTGGAGGTTAGCTGCTTCCCAACAAAGCGGAGCTGGTCCGCAGCAAACGGCAGCTAGCTATGCGCCCATGGGTGGCAATAGGCAAGCGAACGGCACTAATGGGTTGGATACTCCTGGTCCTGATCGACTGGACTGGGAGCGACAGTTCTTCGATGATACCGAGGCTACAGTGAGTAAAAATTCTGAGTCTCAAGTAACGAATTTTTACTGTTTTTTCTCGAATTATTGTGTAATAACAGCTTCAGATTAATGTCAATATATAGTGACCAATCATATCGAACTCAATGTAAGTTGACAAATATTGTGTTGTCGAAGTGTTGTGTACAACGTGGTCGTTATTTTTTCCTATAATATATCAACTTTTGCAAAATTATGGTGCGAAAATTGTTTTCTAAATAATTTTTAGTCCTCATTCGGCGTTGTTTTCATTGATTTATTTTCGTTTGATTAACGTTCGTACTAGATCTCCTGTCTTTTCGTAATAGTGAGCATTTTTAAAGTTCAAAGCAGAGGCCTGAAAGTTTACTAGGACGAGGGAGTGACCAGCTTAGTGAGATGTATGCCAGAATTACAAGGCAATTTGCGATAATTTCAACATAAGAATAACCTGAGCTTTTGGTATGAATCTCATCAATAAGTATTGAAATGCTTTTGTAGTTCGATTTTTTATTTACAAGGGAACGATACCAGCTGACCCCAACCATTCGAGATGAAATGTATATGAGGATGCTCGTTCGGGGACTCTTA